TGATCGTGTGCGTGCGGTGGGCGAGGGAGGCGCGCGGAGGATTTTTTCGACGAGTTTGGCGAGCTTCTCCATTGAAAAAATGAGAGGAGGGAGAGTGAGGGATGTTCTGAAAATTTTTAGAGAAAGAGAGAAGGAAGAGAGAGGTTGAGCCGAGAGAGAGATAAGGGAAATGGAGGGGGAGACTTTCCTTTTAAAATGGTCTTGTAACCTCCCTAAAAAAGCTTGGTCAAAGCTCAAATTATGAGGTAATGGGCTGACCTTAAGGGATAAGAGGTTACAAAAATTGAATTCAAAATTTAAAATAAAGCCTTGTAGAAGGCATGCATGCATGGCGGACCAAAAGAGGGTCGGGCTGGGGCTACGCGGGCGGGCGCAGGCTGAGGCCCGGCTGCTTGGGCGCGTGTTCGGTCCAGCGGTTTGGCTTGATTCGATCGGTAATTATAATAATTTACAATCCGACTCAATATTACAATATACTTACTAATACAATTAGACAATTACGAGTACATAATCGAATTAAAATAATAATCGAGCACGGAATAAAATAAATCCGGACAAATAAAATAAATAATAATTCCAAAAATAATTTGGAACAAATGGGGCGCTACAATCTATCCTCCTTAAAAGATTTCAGTTCTCAGAAATCCCACGAGAACAGAAAACTGCGCGAAAAATTTACTCTAATTTTAGTAAGTTTAGGCGGGGTGTTACAACAGGTCTGCCAACCCCGAGGATTTTAGGCAGGAAATCCATCACCGGCCAAGGCCCATGACAAGGTCATTGCAAAGGACCAAGAGGAGATTACTCACTCGGGGTATGTTTCAGAACTATGGGGATACCATTCAACGGCCAGTACAGCTCACGCCGAAATTTACATACTCACATTTCATACATTGATCATTCCCAAGTAAGTAAACAAATTTCACAATTCAAGGCATAGACAATTTTATAAGTAAACCCACATAAATAAAACATTTATCATTCAAGGCATAGATAATTTGAAT